GACCAGCCAGGGCAGTGATATCATTTTTTTTTAAATTCTCAACTGAAGATATTTTTTCCATTGATTTTTTTAGAGAGTGGAAGGAAGGGAGGGAGGGAGAGAGAAACATCAATGTGAGAGGGACACATTGATTGGTGACCTCCTGAACAACTCTAACTGGGGCCAGGAATTGGACCTGCAACCCAGGTACTGGCCCTTGACAGAAAATTGAATCCAAGACCTGTTGGTCCTTGGGCCAACGCTCTAACTGCTAAGCCAAACTGGCCAGGGCTGGTGATATAATTTAACCATGTTTTAATAAGGACAATGATTTCTTTTTTAAGACCAAATAATATTTTTTCAATTTTTCATAATTTTTTTTCATTTTTAAGTAGAGCCAAATTTTAAAAAAGTATTTTAAGCTGCTATTCCTTTTTTTAAAACCAGGGTAATAAATATTATTTATAACTTCTTTAAATTTACATAGTACTTCAACATATTAATACTTTGTGAACTGCTAAATAGCAAATACATTTACAGTATTACTGGTCACCAAATTGGAGAGGGAAAGGAAACCTTAGGCAAATGTTATCATTAAGGAAGTATTGATATCTGTCTCCTCAAATGTCTCACAACTCTGGAATGTCCACTGTGATGAACATGTGTCAGCACTAAATTCTCACACGTTCTTCATTTTCTGATTCAATTGGTGAACTGGGAGTATGAAGTTGGTCATAAACATTGTGCCTCCCCTCACCTAACCAAAACTTGAAGCAATCACATCCACTGCCAGGCCAGCTATAGCCTTGGCTTCTCTGAAGCAGCCAACTGAATATTGACTTCAACAAGATCCAATACTAATAGCAACACTGTATTGTGTATTTCCTCAGTAATATACATGCATGCTTTCTTGATAGGTTAGTCCCCCTACAACAGGAGTTCCTATGGCTGGAGCCAGTACAGGGTCAAAAGCATCAATATCAAACTTCAGATGGAATGGCCTTTGATTTTTGCCAATCAGCAAACCAAATGTCTGTTTCATTACCTTCTGGATACCAAGTCGGTCTATCTCCCATGGAAAAATACTGGGTATCCTAATTCTTTAATATATTCAGAAGGGTCCACATCTCTTAGAACAATATACACGATACTTGAGTAAGAGGTATAAGGTTATATCCAGAAAAATCCTGGAGCTGTGGTACCTTGTCCTGTTAATTCTCTGAGGAGATATAAAACTGGCTGTTCATAGAGATTTCCAGGTGCAGTGGTGAGGGGTGTACTGATATCAATGTGGGCATCAACCAAGATCACATAAAGATCTGGGCAATACTGGGCATCACCACTAATAGTACCAATTATCAAGATGTGATCTCCTCTCATGGTAGCCACCTGACATGGCCCTACTACCTCAACCAGTTCCCAGTTTGCAAGGCCCACTGAGTGAGGATTCACTATCAGACTGTTATAGAGGTCATCTTTGGGGACTAGAGTGTAACTCAAATCTCCAAAGTCTTTTAGGCAGTAGCCCAAATTGAAGAACCTTTTAATCAATCCAGCTTCTCTTACAGCTGCAGGACCATATTCTACTCCTTTTCTTTTCTGTCCCTGTAGGAAAGGGGGGCACCTGAGCACAGCCACAGAGCAGACAGACTTTTGCAGGATGAAATGCACTTATGTCTAGAGAAACAAGTGGCTCCTTCTTAGGAATAAGATGGGTAGCGCAAGACATTGCCAAGTGAGAGCTTATGATGCCATTCTTATACAGCCAACGGCTTGTGTTATAATAATGCAAATGTTTATATTTTTATAAGTTTATTTTTTCTTGATTTTGTTGTTTATAATTTTCATATTAAAATTCTTTTACATATTTAGTTTCACTTTAAAGAATTTTAAGAATTCTCAATACAACTAAATCAAAGTTCCCGTACTGCTTCTGTTCTACTATGGCAATCACAATTAGTACAATGTCACACCGCTAGAATAGTCAGAATTAGAATCCAAGGACTCCAAATCTTGTTACCAAATCGTTTTCACCAAATCATGTTACCTCATCATGGTTCCCATCAAAATGAATAGATTTATTTAAAAAGAATTATCACCTGATACCTGTTAGAATGTCTATTATCAAAAAGGAAAGAAATAACAAGTGTTGATGGCGATATACATAAAAGAGAATCCTTGTGCATGTTGGTGGTAATGTAAAATTGGTGTAGTCACTATGGAAAACAGTATGGAGGTTCCTCAAAAATTTAAAAAAAGAAGTACCATATAATCCAGCAATCCTACTCCTGGGTATTTATCCAAAGGAAACAAAAACAATAACTTAAAAAGATATACAATGGAAAACTATTCAGTCATAAGAAAGAAGGAAATCTTGACATTTGCTATAACATAGATGGACTTGAGGGCATTATGTCAAGTTAAAGACTGTTGGTTGCGCCCTGGCCAGTTCGGCTCAGCGGTTGGAATATTGGCCTGCGGTCTGGAGAGACCCGGGTTCGGTTCCCGCTAGGGGCGCGTACCTCGGTTGCAGTCTGTCCCCGGCCTGGTTGGTCGTGCGGGTGGCAACCACTCCATGTGTCCCTTTCACATCGATGTTTTTCTCTCTCTCTCTCCCTCCTACTCTATCTGAACAAAATGTCAAAAAATGTCCTCAGGTGAGGATAAAAAAAAAAAAGACTGTTGGTTGCCATCGGAGTAGGAATGTGGGGCAGGTGAAATGAGTGAAGATGGTCAAAAGGAACAAACTTCCAGCTATAAAATAAATAAATTATGAGGATTTAATGTTTAGCATGGTGTGCATTTGAAAGTTGCTAAGAGAGTCAATTTAAAAAGTTCTCATCATAAGAAAAAAAATTCTGGCTTGCGGCAATGGACATTAACTAGATTTATTGTGATCATTTCACAATATATACAAATATCAAATTGTTGCTGAAACTAATATAATGCTACATGTCGATTGTATCTCAATAAAATCATCTTGAAAAGGGATTATCTTTTAAATTTTATACTCCCTTACATACCCTAATACATTTAACTAATACCTAGAACCTAAATTAACTTCTCACGTAATAACACATTTTCTTACTTATTGTATCTCATACAATTACAAACAGAATTATGGTGGGGAAAAATTAAGATGAGGGTACAAATACACGAAAATCTATGATTTGTAAAATACATATTTATAAAATACAATTTGCACTATCAAGCAAACAAAACAAAACAACAGACTTCAGGGAATTTATAATCTGTTAAGGAAGATAAATATGACCACAAATATAATACATAGAAACTATAAATACTTTATAGGTTCAAAGATAAGTAGACTTTTAAAAAATATTAATGTATTGACAGGATTATAATAAGTAGAAATCATTTATTCATTCAGCAATTAGCTATTCTGTACCTTCTCCAGTCAAGTCACTGAGCTACGCAGGGGTTATAAAAGCGAATCAAACAGATATAATTCCCATCCTCATGTGAAAAAAACAGATAAATGCAATTATTCTGAGAAAGTTATGAAGAAAAAGACTAGCTAAGTAGAAAATGGAAAAATTGATCAGGTAAGGCCTTACTAACAAATAAAGCAACATTCAGGTTGAGACCTAGTGGATGAGAAGTGAGCCTTTTAAATCAGGTGCATGCATGTTTATGTGTATGTATGTGCTGTGTGTGTGCTGGGAATGGAGATGTTTAAGTCCAGGGAAGCATGTTTAAAACACAGAAGTGCACTGGCATATGTGACAATTCAAAAGACCAATGTGACTGAAGTTTGGTGAGCAATCAGAAAATGGGCATAGATGCAATTGGATAGGCAGGTGGTGTGATCCCACAGATCACAGAAACAGGAGATTCAGGGTATGATGAAGGAAAAGCAAATATATTGATTTGGCTATAGTACGAGGATAATAAAAAACATTTTCCCACAACCCTTAGGTATAAAATTTTAATTTAATTCTTACTATACAGTAAGAAGTAATATTTCCCTTTCAAGAATGAAGGAATAACTGGCTGGGGATAAAGACCTTGCACTGCTAATAAGCTATGTCACAAATCCCAGACACACTAGCCTAAGTCAAACCAGTATCCTTTCAACTACATAGTAAGAAGTAATAAAAAAAAAAAGTTAAAAATACAAAGTGGGTTAAAAGTAAGGCTAAGGAATATGGGCTTTATTATGGACAAAAACTAAAGGAAGTGACAATGATTAAAAAGATAATACTGATGATCTCCATTGTGTGTAAGAATACTTTCAAACAGAAACTGCTTTATGCAGAACAATTGCCATATATTATATCAATCATTTCACTGTGTTCCCCAGAATAAGGCTGTGTATGTGTGGTTGAGGACAGATGGAGGCTAAGTACCATGCTCAATCAGAACATACTCACTTTAATCTGCTTTATGTTAGATTTAATTTGAAAAAAAATTCTACTCTTCAAAAACCACAGATTATAAAGACAGCAACATTGGCTCCAAAATCTTACTCTGAAGATCTAAAACCTACTGCAATAGAGCTTTTCTTTCACCCATCATGTGCCCTAATGATAATTATTTAATAAACACACCAATTTCTTTTCAGTGTTTCTGCTAAAAGCCAATCATGTACTAGATGCAGTTTATTCAATGCAATTTCAGGTAAGATTTTTGACTCTACACTTTTAGAATTAATATGTACGCCTACCATAAAGTTTCTTTGTATATTAAGGCATTATAACATTAAAATTGTAAGGAAAATATATTCTAATACTACTATAAACTGTTTCTCAATCCCTAAAAAATGAAGACAAAAAATTATACACTGATGCTCAAAAAACCAACTACTACCAGTGAATACTTTATGTATAATACTGATAAATATATTCTGACATTTACTTGGATGACTCAAAAACCACTAAAGTAAATAAACGAACTCTTCAATTCAGCTACATATACTTGTGGTCAACACCTATAACAAAATTTGCAAGACAGCTTAATCATGAATACACAGAATTGGTTATGTAAATATGCACACATACCTTTATCCTTTTTAAAATCCAAAGCATCCTCTTTATCGGTAACTATCTCCTTCATATTGATAATACTCTGGTGAGTAAGCTGCCGGAGAATTTTAATTTCTCGAATTGCTGTAATCGGAAAGCCTTCCTTTTCATTATCTAGACGTACTTTTTTTAAGGCTACCATTTCTCCTATTAGAAAATTAAACAAAGTTAGGTTACTAGTTAACAAAAACCACATGAAAGTTTTCTTATTTTTAAATGTATTTTAATTCATAATATTTGTTCCTAACTCTTCAAAATAACCCACAAAATATATTTTAGTTTCCAACATACCACATAATAATGTTTATAGTTCAAGAAATTAGGTCTCTGGCTGAATAATTTATGAGACATTTATCCAAGGTAAGGAATAGTATATACTGTATAAAAAGATAGAGTAGGTAGGTCCATATGTATTGTTATTTTATGTTCTCCAAGATAAATGAAAAAAGCATGATGAAAAAGAATAGATACATTATACTGCCTGGAAAGTAAAGAAGGGGAAGATAAATATGCTTATATATGCATTAAGCTCTCTGAACAGATAAGAAAATTCTGTAGATTATACAGGTGAGAAATTATGCTCAGACATATTAACTTGCCTAATGTTGCCCTGTTATCCAGGAGTGAAAGTGGAATTCAAAATCTGGTTTAGCTGTCTCAAAATTTGCTCTTCCCATTGCACTAAATAGCGTCATAATTTAGATGTTTGTGTCAGATAAAACCTAAATATTAAGTAAAACACATACACATACATGCAGGCACATAAATTCTATTATAAGAAAAAATTCATCACTACATTAACAGTTTGTTCATTCCACTTTTTTAGAAGAAAAAGGAATTCTGTACCTACAAATTTTTCAAAAGAAGAATGTTTATCCCTTTAATAATTAAAACGTATTTGATTATGTTTTGGGAATTGTAAAATGTAGGATAATTTCTTGTTTTATTATACAGCTTTCGAAGTTATAATTTAGTTATCTTTTTGATAATGCAGAATCATCATTATCAACATTATTACTCCATGCTATAATTGCTCAGGATGCATAAGGTAGTCTACCCTGTATTAAATGGCCTGAAATAGCTATGGTATTTCAATTTACTGGTTATTTCAACAAAGAATTATAAAAGTATACTCTGGCTCACTGCATTACTTAGTAAGCTATACAGCTTTTGACAATTACATTTTCCTCTTCCAAAAGGCCTTTTAAAACTTTCTCTAAGGTTCCTTATTCTGTTCTGAAAGATTAAGCTGCTAAATCTGGCCTCTAGCAGGGGTGGGGAACCTTTTTTCTGCCAAGGGCCATTTGGATATTTATAACATCATTCATGGGCCATACACAATTATCAACTTAAAAATTAGCCTGCTAGCTGGGCTGGTGTAGCTTAGTGGTTGAGCATCGACCCATGCACCAAGAGGTCACCAGTTCGATTCCTGGTCAGGACACATGCCCAGGTTGTGGGCTAAATCCTCAGTGGGAGGATAAATCCCCAGAGGCGGCCAATTGATGTTCTCTCTCATCAGTGTTTCTATCTCTTTCTCCTTCTCCCTTCCTCTCTAAAATCAATAAAGATAAACAATTTTTTAAAAAATTAGCCTGCTATATTTGGTCAGACATGTAATATCAGCTGGTATTAATTTTGTGGGCCTTATGCAGCCCGTGGGCTAGACGTTCCCCATCCCTGGGGATAAAGGGTAATTTCTACAGAAAAAAAATATTTTGGCCCCAATAAGTGTTGCATACAGCTTACTACAACCAAATTTACTACTGGGGCTACTAATGTCAATATATTTTATTTCTCTGGTTACTGACAACATAATAATTATTCATAATAAACAAAAAGGAAACCTAAATCCCACCATACTACATATCACAAATACTAAAGGAGCACTTTTAGAAAATATAAATGTAAGCACACCCACTTACATGTACTCAATTCTTACATAAGTGCATATATATAAAAAAAAAACAAGATAAAACAAAAACAAAAATTTAACGTTTTCCCTGAAAATTCTAAAGTAATACAGTAGAAAAGAAGCAATAATACATTGCATAGACCTAAAGAGCTACAGCATTTGGCATTCTTACCAGTGTCTTTATCCCTGGCCTTGTAAACTTGTCCATAGGTACCTTCTCCAATAATTCCGATAATATCAAATTTATCCACGCAGCGTTTTCCCCAGTCAATATCTTTTTCTTTGATTTCACCATAGCGAGGCCCACATATTCTATCAAATATAGTTCTGAGTTTTTATATACAATCAAGCAAATTGAATAAACTGTTAAATATTCAATATCCACCCACCACCCAATTCTATATCCTTTATTTCCCATTAACCTTCCACATTTGTGATCTAAGACAAGTAACTCCGGGATTTGGTACTATAAATTATCACAAAAGTCAAGGTATCAATCTCCACAATGACTCTTCTGTAGACTAGCAGTTAAACTAAGAGAAGAAGTAAAGCTTGTATGAAGGACTTCCAGAAATAAAATACCATTTTGAAGTGAGTGGACAAAACCAATATTAGTATGAAGAGTAAAAGTTCTCTAACCAACCTCCAGAAAGTTTTATTTTTTATTCACTGTATATATACATATATGTAAAACACAAAACTGATCATGAACATTAACAAAAATCTAACCATAAGGCTCATTGACAAATTTAGACTAAGACAGATAAAATTATCTTGAAAATGGAAATACCAGAAAGACTTTTAGTCTAAGAGAGTATACATGTATTAATAAAATCAACTCTCAGGAATCCACACTTTTAAGTGTATGTGTATGGTGGGTATTATACATATGATATTTGACATTCTTCAAAAAGATATGTGGTTTTGTGGTATTTTAATATTCTGGTAGTAACAGAAATGCAAGTAAAGGAATAAAGCTAGTAATACTCAAGGAATGATTATTTTTAATATTTTCTAGCTTTCTGCTCCATTAGAAAAATCACCTCATACTCTTACAGTAGGTGCTACCTAAACAGCAATACTTAAATCAGATCTAACTCAAAGTCTTACACTTTTGATTTATTAAGCAGAAGTAAGGGGAAAAAAAGGAATCGACTCAACATTCTCCCCACTTAACTGATGAACAGTTTTTAAAGGAAAAAGTTATCTCCAGGGACTTACTTGAAAATACTTTAGAATATAGATTTCGAACCTTCTTTCTATTCCACTTCTTACAAAAAGAAGAAAAGATTTAGTTATGGAAGCAAATGGAGCTAAAACCAACGGAAAGTCCAGCAGCTTGCCCATTACTAACTTTGGAATTCTTAATGCTGACTTCTACCCTTGTCTAATTTCAGTGATTCTATGCTATTTAAATATCTTAATTATAAAAGTTGTCTTTAACACATATCATACCCCCCAAAATCAATACATTACAAACTGTAAGAGAAAATTAAATTTGATTTTATTAGTCATTTTGAATAGGTATGCAGGCAATTATGAATTTTTTTTTAAACTCTAATAGAGTTTATTCATAAACTTAAGTTGAAAGAACATACTTTTTATTATTTTAAATCTTAGTTTTGTATTTTATGATTTTATGATGATCCAAAATCATCTCTGGTCAATTTAAGAGCAGGTAGAAAGCAAGCACATACTTAGGCCTCCTTTTACAATGTAACTGTGTTGCTGTTTTCTTTTCCTCTGGACTCTTTGAGAGATCATCTCCTCCTGGTAGCTCAGGGGGTAGTGGTAAATCAGCAAGTAGACATCGCAGTTTCTTTTCTACTTCTTTTTTAACTGCTTTTACTGAAATATTTCCTCGTAAGCTAAAAAATGAATCAGACAATAAAAAACAAAACAAAACTATTTCATTGAGAAATAAAAATGCAGCCATGTCTTTTATTTAAGTAGTGTACAATGGCAAAATAATAAACTGTTTCTTATTTTCCAGATAAAATAATATACTATATTCAACGGCAAATTTAAATTTGGAGGGGTGGTAAAAAATAATGTAGAATTTCACAACTAAGGACATTTGAACAAAGTACGGACTATCAACATTGGTTTATGAATTTTAACAAATGTACTGTACTAATGTCGCTAATAATGAGGAAACTAAGTACAGGGTATATGAAGACTGTACTTTTTCTGTAAGTCTAAAACTGTTCTAAGAAATTGCATATTTTTAAAAATGATATATAATTACTATAAAACTACATTAAAGCTGAAAGTAAACCGTTTCACAAGAAAATTCATTAATTTTGTAACAGCATTTGGTTTTATTCCAGTCAAGAGACAAAAGCTCTTTTGTTGTAATAAGTAAATAAAAGTACAAGCTATTATTCATCTTGCCCATTTTAAATAACCACAAACAACTAATTTAGCTTCACCCCTTTTCAGGTTAATTTTTCTAAACTGGACACCAATTCTTTTCATTTTTTTTAAGGCTCTAGCTTACTAGAATTGCAGGTGAAAATTTTAACTCAATTACTTTGTACTTTTTATGAATACATGAAGAGCTCTAATTTTGAAAGCGCTGTATCTTAACTTGGTAACTCATTATTTTAAACCTCCCAGATATTACAAAATCTTTTATCTAATAATATGACATGTTGAAAGATAATCTTAAAATGATAATAAAATTTGGACTTAACATACTTTCAGAGCAGGTATTCATCCCATAATAAAAAAAAGTTTAGAGCACACCCAGCGGTCTGAGCATTGTACCACGAACTGAGAAGTCCCTGTTCGATTCCTGGTCAGGGCACATGCTAGGCTCAATCCCCGGTGGGGGGGTGTTCAGGAGGCAGCCAGTAGATGTTTCTCTCTCTTAATGCTTCTATCTCTCTCTCCATCGCTCTCTAAAAAAAAGAATTAAATAAGAACATAGATAAAAAAGTTTAGAGAAACTAGACTGCTATGGTTATAAGTTACTAATGAAGTTATCAATATATATATATATTTTTTATCCTCACCCGAGGACATTTTTTGACATTTTGTTCAGATAGAGTAGGAGGGAGAGAGAGAGAGAGAAACATCGACGTGAAAGGGACACATCGAGTGACTGCCACCCGCACGACTCAACCAGGGCTGGGGACAAACTGCAACCGAGGTACGCGCCCCTAGCGGGAACCAAACCCGGGTCTCTCCAGACCACAGGCCAATGCTCCAACCACTGAGCCAAACCGGCCAGGGCGAACATATTATCGCTTAATTTTAATTTCTTACAACAAAACCTATTAACTTTGAACATTAATATTATTATACAACAAACTGACCCTTTAAGAACATCTGATAAAAAGTATTTATCGCCCTGGCCGGTTTGGCTCAGTGGTTAGAACGGCGGCCTGCGGTCCAAAGAGATCTGGGTTCGGTTCCTGCTAAGGGCACATACCTCAGTTGCAGTTTGTCCCCGGCCCTGGTTGGGTAGTGTGGGTGGTTACCACTCGATGTGTCCCTTTCACGTCACTGTTTCTCTCTCTCTCCCTCTCTCCCTCCCACTCTATCTGAACAAAATATCAAAAAATGTCCTCAGCTGAGGATAAAAAAACAACAACGAAAAAGTATTTATCAATAATCAATATAAAATTGAACCTTTTCTTCATAACTCTATGTTACTCACTAGAATGTTCTTTAAAAGAAAAAAACATGCTCAAAAGAAAACTGTTTTGCAGTTTTAAAGTAATGGCATCACAAAGCCTACTTTTCAATTTTATTATTCCCCCATTAAAAATCGTATACCTCTATGTGCTAAGTATTACATAAGGCACTGGAGATGTAACAACAAAAACAATAACAATTAAGATACAGTTCCTCTCAATAAGGAGCTTACAGTTTTTTGGAAGATAGTCAGGTAAGCAAAAAAGATAAAGTACTATACAAACGGATTCCCAGAGTAATGTGGTAGCTAACGGGTAACTGATTCAGGACTGAAAGACAGTAAAAGCTTCTTTAGAAAAGGCATAATTTGAACTCTGTCTGAAAACAGTCTATTGAAAATAATTTATTTAGAAAACAAAGTTGTTAACTTGTAATTAGGCTTTAGTCAAAAATTCTCATTTAACTGAAAATTCAAATCAACATTTTGTTGGGGAAAACTAAACTCAAAGTCTTTACTTATAATTTAAAAATTAAAAGACTGCCTATATTCCAATATATCATTATATGAACTATCAAATTCAGCAAGATTCCCAGAAGAGAAATAAAATATTGCTTTAGAAAAATAATATTATATAATAAAAAACAATGTATTTCTTGGAATAGTTGCAATAACCCATTTGGAAATGTGAGTTTAAAAAAGTTTCCATATATTAAAGCAACAAAAACAACAAAGTGCCTTAGAAAATTAAAACATTTGACTGATAAACACAGATTTGAATACAAAGAAACCATGTTTTTTTATGGAAAGTATTATAGTGTAGGTCTCCAATTTAATCTATTACAGCTAATAGAATCCCAAACAAAACCCAAGGAAGAGCTTCTGAATACAACTTGACAAGCTGAGTGACTATACAATTTGTCTAAGAATAAAAGCAAAAAACTGCCAAGAAATTTCTGAAAAAAGAATAATGAAGTGGGATTTGCCCTGTCATATATATAGTCACCTATATAAAAAAAAAAAAAATCTCAAACCAGAAGCCAAAGAACATGTAATACTGTCTATCCAATGTTTTGTAAACACTATTATTTAACTATCAATATTTTTAAATCATAATATTTACATAAACATTTAGATTCCAGGCTTCTTAAAAAACAAACAAAAAACACTCTAACAACCATAGGCCCAAATGCATGTATAGCAGCAGTGAAGTTGCGGCTAAATAGCAGGGCTGTTCACTAATCAGTAATTTATTCCATCTCTTGACTTTTACAATATGTACCTACCCCTGTAAAAGAAATTTTAGTTTGAGAACCAATATACCACATATCTAAAGAAGTTAAAACAAAAAGATACTGGCAAAGAAATAATAAAATATGTTCATAGAAAAGAGAGTGCAGAAACACAGATATCTGTAAGAATTCTTATATATGGCACCACATATCAGTGAGATGGATTGTTCAATACATGATGTTACTAAATTTAGCAGTCCACAGGGTGTTAGGGGGAAGCCATGTCTTTCTGCTTCATTTAAAATCCAAAACCAAATTTCTGTGAGATGTTAGTTAACCTTTTAAAAATTTATATACTCAGAAGTTTAAAAGGAAAAATAATAGATCTTACTACAATTTTTAAAATGGAAAACATCAATATAGACAAAAACAAAACAAATCTCAAAGACAACAGGCTGAGGCAAGGGTAAACATCCCTAACATAAGGAGTACCTACAAATCAATTAGAAAAAGAAAACAATCTTAAGAAAAAAGCCAGCATAAGATATGAACAAGCAATTCACTGGAAAAACTAAATATCCAATAAATATTCAGAAAGATGCTATATCTTAATACTCAGGAAAATGCAAAATTAAGTCATTACATATTTAGAGATTATCAAAAATTCAAAATTAACAATATTGTTGAAGTAATTTCATACATTTGAGTGTATAAATTGGTACATAGTTTTACTAAAATACAATTTGGCAATTTCTATCAAATTATAAATGTGCATCATTTGATCTTGCAACTATCCTACAAAAACTGCTTACATGTACATTAAATATTAATATAAGAATTTAATAGCAAACAATTATAAATCCAAATTTCCATTAATTAATAGCAGAACAGTTAAGAAGAGCATGATGCATCCGTTCCTATAGGTAGCAATACTGAACCTATCTATATCAAAATAACAAAATCTCTCAACACAATAAATGAAAAAAAAAAGTCAAAGAGTATTATATACAGTATGATCCTAATTATTTTAAAAAGCCAATTAATATTACATGAAAGCATATAGTTAACAGTCTATCTTACAATTTTAGGAGAGTAATGGATTCCAGGTCTAGAAGAGAAGAAAAGTTCAGAGTGAGTCTAAAAGATAGTATTGGCTAGGAAACAAGGAAACACTCAAAAACCAAGGGGGTCATATTAGGGTCAGCTTAAGAGTTCCCACAGGCCAAATTTAGGCAAATGGAGCATCAAAAGTGACTGTAACTGGTGTTGAATCAACCTTTGGCCACACACAAGTTAGTAGTAGTATTCAGGAGTCTTTAGAAAAATGTCTGTGCCTAGGCCACTATGGATGGCTCAGTTGGTTGGAGCATAATATACCCAGGTTGTGGGTTCAATCCCTGGTGCATACAGGAGGCAACAGATTGATGTATCTCTCTCAAATTCATGTTTCTTTCTCTCTCTCCCTTCCTTAATGAAAACATATCCTTGGGTGAAGATTAAAAAAGAAGAAACTTCCAAATGCATGAAACATACAAACACAATAAAAGAAATAAAAGCAGAGACACAACAAAGAGAAAAACAGAAAAGAAGGTGGGTCAAAAATTTTTTTTTAATGATTTAGTATGAAATGTGTCAGCCTTCTCATTAAAAAATAATGCACAGAGAATATCCTCCTTGAGCATTCATGAGTACCTCCTGAGTTCCTGAAAATATCACCAGTAAAAATATATCCCTAAAACATATAAAGAATAAAATAGAGAACAATGAGTCTCACTGGTCCAGAATCACTGGATTCTCAGGTACTAATGATAAGTGACTCAATTCCAGCACTCATGAAAATGACAAATCACTACTATTGTGAACCTTCAATGTTCTTACGTAACAGTCAAACCCGGGAGTACCACAATTATAGTAGTATAATGGGATAACACCTGATTAAATTGGATGGGGTATCTTGGTAACATATTTTTATTGTAGGAAACAAGGGCCTCAGAAGGCATGAAACAGAAAAAAAAATTTTTTTTTCATTAAGATAAAATTTTCATAATGCTAACCAAAGTGAGCACTTGAAAGAACTGCTCACATGGTGTTTTTTGTAGTTATTGTTAATCCTCACTCAAGGATATTTTTTTTTTTTTTTAAGAGAAAGTGGAAGGGAGGGAAGAAGGGAGAGGGAGAGAGAGGGTGGGAGAGAGTAGGAGGGAGAGAGAGGGAGGGAGGGAGGAAGAGTAACACTGATTTGATAGAGATACATCAGTTGGTTGTCTCCCAAACATGCCCCAACTGGTTGCAACCCACATACATGCCCTTGACTGAGAACTGAATCCATGACCCTTCGGTGTGTGGGCAGACACTCTAACCGCTGAGCCACACCGACCAAGGGCCACATTGTGTTTCTATCGACTTATTTTCAAATTCTCTCAGTTCAGAAAACTGCCCATATAGTTGCTTCTTAATAGAAAATAAGGGGGAAAATAGCTCTGATTTCTTCATTAAAAAAAAAAAAAAAAATTAAATGGTGCAATAGGTAGATATAACACAATAGCATAATAAATCTATCCTAGTATACATTTAAGAAACATTCTTAGAACTGCATTTACTTTACAGATATTCTTACCTTCATCCTCTTAAGAATAAAATATTTCAAAATAAAAAATCCAGCTATACCCCCAATATTCATAATAAAAATCTGTAAACATGTTAAAGGAAAACATAACCACATTATGGTTTTTCCATGATTTCTAATTAATCTCTAACTGCAAAATATTTCAAGTCAAGAAAGACTAAACTAAATGGATAAATTAATAAAGCCGCCCAAACTGGTAAATTTAAAAGGCCACTAAAGAAACTTAGAAAAATCGAGATACATGCTTTATATCACCCAGTTCAGACTCTCTTATAAAATGTCCTGTCTCTGATAGTATCATCGAGGAAAACTAAACCAAAGTAAATACTGGCATTTCTAATTCTCAAACTCAAACTGATATAATATATTGTATCCCAAGACAATGACAATTTTCTTCTGAAATTCTTAGCATAAGCTATAATTTTGTCATTCTATAAACAATGTGCTTCATTTTAAGGCATACATTAGAAAGAGAATTACTCCACTTACACAGTTATTGACCAAATTTTCTGCACTTACCTATCAGCATCTTTATCTTCAGGCAACATGGGAGGCAAAGGTAATGGTGGTAATGTAGAGGTCACTAGAGCCACATGTTGTTCCTTCTCCTTGGCTCCTACGCTTGGTGTAAGTGGTTTGGTTTTCTCTTTAAGAGATACTGGTTCCTCCTTTATAGCAGCAGATTTACTCTCCTTCCCAACTATAACTGCTTTCTTCGTGGTTTTATCTACAATCAAATTATTGTCCACCTTTGTTACCTGAATCGGTGGCTTTGTTTTTGTCTTGTCATTTTTTAAAGCTCCAACACTTGAGGGAGAAGGTGCATGCTCAATTTTAAGTTTCTTCACATCCTTCACATGGTTTGTTTGTGATGCGCTGGCACCAGTTTCTGTGTTCCCCTTGGTAGGTGTAGAAGTGTTTGAGGCTTTGGCAGCTTTGGCAGAGGCCTCAGCAGCTTTAGCGGCCTCTGCAGCTTTAGCAGCCTCTGCAGCTCTTGCGGCCTCTGCAGCTCTTGCGGCCTCTGCAGCTCGCGCTTTTTTATTCTTGTTCAATTCAGCTGCCAGGCTACTCTTCAGAGTTAGTGTGCTAGGAGAAATGCTAGAATGACGACTTCTGGATCTAGACAATCTGTGCCTGCTACGAGATCTTGAATGCCTAGATGAATATGGGCTTCTGCTTCGGGATTTGGCAGACCGTCTGGTGAAAAATAATTAAGATTTATTAGTCAGAAATTCAGAAAAGTTCAGCTGAAATTTACAAAAACTGCTAACTGGAGCCTACGAAATAAAAGATTTATTTAATATCAAAATCGTAATATAATTTTTGTGGGAGGATTTCTAAAAAACAGAAGTGCTTTTAAGTAGAATATTATCTAATGATCTGGTGGCTACAGTTTGCCTGAAACTAGAGTGATTGATTATCTTAATCTTGATCTAGCCTACATATGCTCAAAGATGAGGTTGGATGAAAGTAAATCTCTGAAAGAAGAAATACTGTTAAGAATTAGGAGGAAAAAGTGTGATAAAGCATCACTACTGTCTAAGAAATAAGAAGCAGGCAACAGGATACTAAGGGTAGCAGTAGAGGGTGAAATTTGACTAATATTTTACCAGGGAGACAATCTCTACATCTCAAAAGCACCCTCACCCATTGATTTCAGAAGTAGGTCTGTCTACAAGAAGAGTGAAAAAGACAAAACCTGTCATTAGGCAATAAGTAAAAGTCTCTAAATCTTGGAAACTACTTAATGATCGTGCAATTCACTTCTCAAAAATTATTGGAAAGCACAAAACATATATTTAAAAGCTCCTATAAAACAAACGCAGCAGACCACCAAATGAAAAGTAGCTCAGCTTTTCAAATCTATACCTTATCAAAACTTGATACTCACAAGACAAAACACTATGATAGTACTTTAATATGTTATCTCATTTAATGCTCACATCAACCCCAGTAAGGTATCTATAGTTTACAGGTAAGAAACGGAATCTAATATACTAGGTTACCTAAATCAATCCCATACTTACTGGTGGTTACACTGGTTATTATTTTATTGCCAGGACCCTATCCCTCCAAAACTCTTCCATCCTATTCTATGACTAAGGAAACTGATCTCAACAGATGCATCTTCTGTGTTCCAGTGCTGTCTATCACCGGCAGAAGATCAGAAGGCAGAAAAAGGCTGGATTATTTCTTCCCAGCTTCTTCCCTTCTTTGGACCACATTTTCTGACAGAATCTGTGTCCCTTTACCACCATAGCTCCTGTAGGCACACCTCTCTCCACAGCTCTACTAGGCTCCACTAACACATCCCCTATGGGTTTCCTTAATCCACCCCATCTCTGTGGTCCTTCATTAAAGTCTCTTGAATTTCTGAGTTTGATTCAGTTTCATTCTTGAACCTTGTTTGATCTAACTGTGTGCCAGGTCTTAAACCCAGACCTTTTGTCTCTGAAGTAGGTAGATTGATGCAATTAACACATTAACATACTGCCAAGGAGAGAACTCTTGCTGAAATTTTATACAAGTTATTGGAGAAGGGTAAATAAAGAGTAAGTAAAGAAACTTCTGGGAACTGTAATTAAAATGTAAAGAAAGAAAAGAAAGAACTGGACATTTCTCTTTATATCTGATATTAATATACTATAAAAGAAAATGTTTAGAAACATTCTACAATTCGAATAAGAAAACAAAATAATGATTAGGTTTAGAATAAACTTAAATACAAATTCAACTCATTCCTCATTCTTTAAAAACATCTCAATATGTACTGAGGGCCAACTAGTGTTCAGCAGAACTAAACTAGTGTTTCATACAAAATTCACATAAAATATTTATTTCACATTATTTCAGATTAATGAGAACTCTGGTAGGAAATATTTCAATAAAACACTTGCTTATCATTAAATATATATATATATCATTAAAGATATCACTTAATATATATAAATATACACATATACATACACACACACACACGTATATATATCAATCATTAACATCACCAATGAGGTTACAATTATTCATGAAAATGAGAGAAATGTTTGGCTGTAAATACTTTGGATAATTTAATATAGAAAGCAAAAGTGTTATAATATGAAGTAATTAGCCACATTTTAAATTGCCTCTCCTGGCTCTGGCTGGATAGCTCAGTTGGTTAGGGCATTGTCCCAATATGCCAAAGTTGTAGGTTCAAAATCCGGTCAGGACACGTACAAGAATCAATCAGTGAATGTATAAATAAGTGAAAAACAAATTGAGATCTGGCCAGTTTGGCTGAGTGGTTAGAGCGTTGGCCCGCAGACAAGAGAGTCCCGGGTTCGGTTCCCACTAAGGGCATGTACCTTGGTTGCAGTTTATCCCCGCCCCAGTTGGGGTTGTGTGGATGTCAACCTGTTGATGTGTCTTTCTCACATCAATGTTTCTCTCTTTCTCTCTCCCTCCCCCTCTCCCTCCCACTCTGTCTGAAGATAAATGCAAAAATGTCCTCAGGTGAGGATTAAAAAACCCAAAAAAACAAACTGATATTTCCCCTTCTCTCTCTCTCTCAAATCAACAAATAAAAAATTAAATACACTACAAAGAAAGAAAACCACAGGCCAATATCCCTGATGAACACAGATGCCAAAATCCTTAACAAAATATTAGCAAATCCGATCCAGCAATACATCAAAAAAATTATTCATCATGATCAAGTGGGATTCATCCCAGGCATACAAGCATGGTACAATATTAGCAAATCAATACATGTGATACACCATGTAAACAAAATGAAAGATAAAAACCATCTGATCATATCAATAGATGCTGAAAAAGCATTCGACAAAATCCAGCACCCATTTCTGATAAAAACACTCAGCAATCTGGGAATAGAGGGATCATATTTCAACATAATAAAGGTCATATATGAAAAACCTACCGCCAACATTATACTCAATGGGCAAAAACTAAAAGCATTTCCCTTAAGAACAGGAACAGGACAGGGATGCCCACTTTTCGCCACTCTTATTTAACATAGTACTGGAAGTCTTAGACACAGCAATTAGACATGAAGAAAAAATAAAGGGGATCCAAATTGGAAAGGAGAAAGTGAAACTGTCATTATTTGCAGATGTCATGATATTGTATTCAGAAAACCCTAAAGTCTCCATCAAATATCTACGACTTAATAAGTTAATTTGGCAAAGAAGCAGGATACAAAATTAATATCAAGAAATTGACGGCATTCTTATATACCAATGATGAACTCACAGAAAAAGAAACTAAGAAAACAAACCCATTTACCATCGCAGCAAAAAAATTAAGATACCTAGGAATAAACTTAACCAAAGAAGGACCTCTTCACAGAAAACTACAGGTCATTGAAAAAAGAAATAGAGGAAGATATAAAAAAGTGAAAGCACATACTCTGTTCATGGATTGGGAGAATTAACATCATTAAAATGTCCATGCTACCCAAAGCAATGTATAGAGTCAATGCAATCCCTGTCAAAATACCAATGTCCTATTTCACAGAACTTAAACAAATACTCCAAAAGTTTATATGAAACCAAAAAAGACCCCAAAGAGCCACAGCAAACTTGGAAAAAAAGGACAAAGTATGAGGGATCAAATTACCAAATTTCAGGTTATACTACAAAGCTACTGTAATCAAAACAGCCTGGTACTGGCATTAAAAACAGGCAGATAGATCAATGGAACACAGCAGAGAACCCAGAAATTGACCTAAGACAATATGCTCAATTAATATTTGACAAAGGTGGCAAGAGCACACAGTGGAGTCAAGACAGTCTCTTCAATAAATGGTGTTGGGAAAATTGGACAGCTCGTTGCAAAACATGAAGCTAGATCCCCAACTTACACCATACACAAGAATAAACTCAAAATGGATAAAAGGCTTTTAAATGTAACTCATGAATCCATAAAAATTCTAGAAGAAAATGCAGGCAACAAAATTTCAGACATATGCAGCACAATTTTCACTGATACAACACCTAAGGCAAGAGAAACAAAGAAAAAAATTGTACACATGGGACTACATCAAATTAAAAAGCTTCTACACAGCAAAAGAAATAACCATCAAATGGAAAGGAGACCATAACTGCCAATGATGCATCAGATAAGGGGTTAATTTCCAATATATATAGAGTGCTCATACAACTTAACAAAAGGAAGACAAAGAACCCAATTAAAAAATGGGCAGAGGAACTAAATAGACACCTCTCGAAACAGGACATACAAAAAAATGCTCAACGTCACTAATCGTCAGAGAGATGCAAATTAAAACAACAATGAGGTAACACCTCACACCTGTCAGAATGGCCGCCATCAACAAAGCATCAAACAAGTGTTGGCAAGGATGTGGAGAAAAGGGGACTCTAGTACACTAGTGGTGCGAATGCAGACTAGTGCAGCCACTGTGGAGAATACTATGGCGTTACCTTAAAAAGTTAAAAATTGAACTTCCATGTGACCCAGTGATCCCACTTCTAGGAATATACCCTAAGAAGCCTGAAACACCGATCAGAAAGAATATATGTACCCCTATGTTGATAACAGCATTATTTACAATAGCTAAGATTTGGAAACAACCCAAGTGTCCATCAGTAGATAAGTGGATAAAAAAGCTGTGGTACATGTACACAATACTATGCAGCTTTAAGAAAGAAAGATCTCTTATCCTTCGAGATGAAATGGAGGGACCTGGAGAGTATTGTGCTAAGTGAAACAAGCCAAGCAGAGAAACACAAATATCACATGATCTCACTTATTTGTGGAATATAATGAACTAAACAAACTAATGAACAAAAATTGAGCCAGAGACATAAAGGTAGGGTACAGACTGACAAACCTCAAATGGGGGGAGGTTGGAAGGGGGAGAGATAAACCACAGAACTTATATGAATGTATGCATGACCAATGGACATAGCCAACAAAGCTGGGGATGGGGCAGGGTGGATGAGAAGGAGGGTGTCTATGGGGGAACAAGGAGAAACATCTGTAACAAAAACAAATTAGTAAACAATAAAAAAGATAAATTTCCTCTCCATTAAGACTCTTGGACCTCTAAATAAGCTTGATAAGTCATGTTTCCACACCCTGATCAAATACTAATGAGGAGCAGAAAGTACACAGCAGACGAAAGCAGAGAATGTCATCGCATCAGAGGTAATAGCACAGAACTTTTCCTAAATTAA